TCTTGGGCTTTCTGGGACTCCCTTGGAAGGAAACATGTTGTTGTGACTTGGGTGTAATTGTCACTCTCTTTAGCAGCAGTTATTAGTCAGGTCCTGGTGGTGCTGTGAGCCATTGCTTCTCCACAGTCACACCCAGGAGGTGTTTTGGGGAAGCTGGTGCCCCCTGCACTGGCCCTGCAGTGTTGGTGTGTTCTGACAAGGCATAATGGGGTAGAAAATGGCAGCCAGCGAGAAATCAAAGAGTTCTGAGGTTCAGACTTTGAAGATCTCATAAATTCTTCTCCTGTGCTACTGTGAGCTCCCTCTGTGTGTAGCTGTTGCTGTTTTCAGATTCCCAGTGGGAATTCTGTGTGGTACCAACAGTGGATGAAACACTGTGGCTTGTGTACCTGCATCTGACAGCATTATGGATGCTGTGGCTTGCTGCAGATCTGCAGAGCAGCAGTGTGTTTGGAAGTGGTTTTTCATGAAGTAGTTACAGGTTCACCCACCATTTGCCTCACGGTTTGTGGATGAGAGATCTTTTTTGTAACAGCTTTGCTTTGTGCAGTGCTGTTCATGAGCTTGTGAGATGAGGATTGTGTAGTGAGAGAAACTGCACAAGCAGTGAGTTTTTAAATGGCACTTCAAGATGCAGAAGTAACACCAATTTTGATATTTCCTGTCTTTTCAGTAGCATATAGCTATTGCCATTCTAAAATCTTGCATCCCCAAGCCCACAGTTGGCCACATGAGCAGATGGACTGTGACAATGTAAATTGCTGCTAGAAGAAGTTGGCATTTTGTGTTTGCTGATGATGCTGAAGATGTTTCTGGTGGCTTTGGGGTGTGTGTGTGGTTTCTCAAACAGAATGACTGAAATACTCTGTTGTTACTTAATATCAGATGTCACAAATTTTTGCCATACTAGAGAAAAAAAAAGCAAATTAAATATCAAATTGAGGGTATTGGTATAGTGTCAGCTTTCCTTCTCTTACTCTAGGAAGTGACTGCATTTTTTCATACTCTTAGATTTAGGTTAACAGTTCTCTTGTGTTTTTTTGTAGAGTGTCTGTTAACCTCCTGCTGCTGTAGGGGGTAGAGGTCACCAGGTGGCTAGAGGTAGCAGAAGAATTCCTGCAGCAGACTGTGACCATTTCAGCATGGTGGGAGCATTAACATACACAAAAGCAAGAAAGATTCCAACCAAGAGTTGTGATACTGAGAAATGTCCTAAAAATCTCTGACTCAACGGTCGATATTCAGAAACGAACACTCCACAAGCTACACAAATTTGGATTTTTTTTTTTTTTTTTTTGGATTCCCTTTGTCAGAAGATAATAGGTGTGACTGATTTGAT